CCCAAATGAGACCCTGTCTTTCTGTGTGTTTTCCTGCAAAGCCATCTGCTGCAAAAATTCATATTTCATAAGCAACAGATGATTCACAAATGCCCTTTAAGGCTTTGATTTTGCACAGTTCAACTCCAAGGCTATTGTGCAGCTCAGCCTCATTCCTCTTCTCACAAAATAAGTTGTTTGCTTTGCTTTGCTTTGTCTTCTGGGCTAAGCACATCTGGCTGTTCAAAGGCTTTTGCAATTGGGTGAAGCTTTATCTCTCTCTCTCTCTCTCTCTCTCTCTCTCTGAATTGTGGAGCACAGAGGACAGACCCATTGAACTCAAGTACAGAACAGGATGTAGCAGGTGAAACAATTCCATGTGCAGTGCCTATTGCTGAAGTCCATGCTGAATGCCCTTTTTAAGCGTTCCCTTTGAGTTTAGTGTAAGGAAATAAAATAAGTATAATTGAATAGGACCTGATAAAAACACATTTTTTAAAAAAGTATCCTGCCTAATGAGGAAGGTGGATTTTCTTGTTTCCTCAAGAGAACCAATACACGAGTAATGCATGAAGTCTTGTTGATGAAATGCTGCTTTTCTTAGCTCCCTTTGTAAGGCCTCTTTCAGTCTTTTCAAACTCTGAACCTGAAGGTAATGGACATCGTCTGTTCCTCATGCAAGAACCTCATCTGTGGTGTGTGCCTCCGTCATTCTGTAAGCAGGGCCTGACTGCCACTCTGGATGCCAGTTTAGCACAGGGGTATTTTGCCTGCACAGTCCAATGAAATTAGGTTAATTTGTCATTTCCTTTTAGCTTATTAGAAAGCTAGAAATCCCTTTCCCTCGTTCGGAATATTGAGTGCTGTCATGTTGTTCCATCAGAGCTGTGTTTCGGGTTTGGACAGCTGAGACCACTGATCGCAGTTTGATGGTGAAGCCAGAGGGGTCAATGGAGCTGCAGAAGGGTTCAGGATGGTGCAAGCTGGGAAGGGGCTGGAGTGCTGCCTCGAAGATGGGCGCTCGCTCCTCAGGACAGAGCGAAATACTTCCAGCAGCTGCAGCCTTTCTCAGCCTGTCCACATCCTGCCTGCTGGCTGCCCACATGTCTAACTTCATTCATAGAGCACTTTCTACGTGCCAGGCAACCTAAGGCATATAAAGACGCCTAAGGAATTTCCTGGCCAGGGAACTCACAATCTTAGGGAAATAACAGGCAACGAAGCCAGCAATTGTAATTCAGTAGGTATTTGAGTCCCCAGGAAGGACATGGAAAGGCTTTAAAGCTTTTAATCTACATTAATCCATAGACTGAGAAGTACAGGCAGAGATTATTTGGCCTCATTCTATAAATCAAAAACACCCAAATCCCACAAACGTCTGAAAACAGACTCCAAGTTCAATGGCTCAAAAGTTGTGGCCAA